TAAAAGAGATCTTTCCCAACTACCTATTCCACAAATTATAATAATACAAACAAACAATTACAAATAATTTTACATGAAAAGTAAATCGTACAACACAAAAAAAATATATAACTACCCTCTACTCTCCCAAATTCTTTTAAATTTTCAATTCCTAAAAATTTTAAAAATTTTATTACAAACTTTTATTTAAATAAATATTATTCGAACTAAATAATGGAAACCCAAACTATCAATAATCTTCTTGGTTGAAGGAATCCAAACTTTGAAACGATTCTTGGAAATTTGGAAAAATAATAATATTGCAAACAATGTTATAGAAATATCTAACCAAAATATTTCTATTATTGACGAAAATGGACTGAAGACAACAAGTTCAATTAATGAAATTATTCAATATTCAACAGAAAACCCAGTTAAAAACAATAATTTGAATGAGGAATTTATCAATAATGAAGCATGGGATGAAATTCTTCAAACATTAGAACCCATCGATATACCAAATATTCCAGAAAACATTGAAGTAATTGAAAACACTTCAGTAGGAAATATTAATCACCAAAGTCCTAAAAGAAAAGATAATAACTTTATCATTGACCAAATCAAACAAGATTTAGAGCATGAAATAGAGGATCGAGTTCAACTGAATTCTCCTTATCAAGGCTCTGACGATATTCAAATTTATAACAAAATAATTATGAAAGTTCAAACTTTTGGAAAGAAGAAAAACAAACACATACAAAGATTGGAAGCTCTTTATTATCTAGAACAATTAAAAGAAAGCAATAGAAATAATAAACAAATAACTAGATATATACGAAACCAATTAACCCACTCTCTTGGAGAAACAAAATCTTGCCGATTGTGAAAACAAGCTACTCGACTCTTTACGATATATCAAAAATTTGGACTACATCAGTTATACAAATTAAGTTTTATTAATGCGTCAATGATTGGTGAATTAGAAACAGAAGATTACGAAAAATTAATTTGTTAAATTAATTTTTTTTTTTTTTTTTTTTTTTCGGCATATCCTGCCACTGTTTTATTAAGATGATAACCAAGTAAAATTACAAGAATTTTAACTACAGCTAATCCTTCTTTGACCACAACAAGTGACTCACTCGGCTAAAGCCCAGGTGCGACATCGCCTAGTAGCTGTTTGCCTCCCTCCGGGCCTCTAACTTTCTAGAA